AAGGCTGGACTCGAACCGCTGAAGCGTCGACCATTTCTGGCCGGCAACTTTCAGCGTCATTAAGTACGTACTACTTAGTTCCAGCTCCTAGCATCTTTCTCTTGAGAGTCCCACAACTCAAAGAAGACTGCTTACCTATAATGGTGGTAGCTTGACTCCATGCCCTACTACTCTAATATGTCAAAAGAGTAGTGAATGGGAGTCATATTAAAATATAGTCCATGGGGGATGTAGAAGGGAGTGTGGAATGATAGAAGAAAGGCAAGCCGGTAGGACATAATTATCTCCAGGGCACTTTTTTCCTTTTTTTAAATGATGTAGTGGTTAAGAGATTGGACTTGGGCCAAGGGCAGCCCATACATACATACATACATACATACATACATACATACATACATACCAACAGCAACCAGTAGACAGCCCCAGCCCCCCTCCCCCCAAGTTCCCAGAGGAAAGGCTGGATATAAATATTCAAAATGAAAACGTTGCACAGGCTCCAGCCACCTAGAGTCTATTGACTTGGTGGGGTAGAAATGATGAAGTAAGCAAATACAGACAGAGAGGCAAGCACAGTAAGAGAGATAAGAACTCACACCTTTTCAAAGACGACTGTTCAGGTCTTGCCCCTGACCAGTAAGAGCCAGCATTCGTTGCTGAACGTAAAGGATACTTACATGCCTGGCCTTGACCAGGCCTTGCCGCTGCTGGCACTGCATCCGATTGCTGCTGGGCTGCTGCTGCGACGTCTGCATGTGAGGCCTGAACTGGGACGGGGCAACCGGAATCAGTGGCTGGGGCGGCACAGGCAGCAGGTGGTGCTGCTGCTGGTGGGACTGATGCGGCTGGTGGTGAGGCTGGGGTGGCTGCGGGTGCTGCTGGGGCGGCTGCGGGTGCTGCGGTGGTGGCTGCGGGTGCTGTGGCTGCAGAGGAGGGTGCAAAGGGCCCTGTACGTTTGAAAACATGGCAGGTGTGAGGCCAGGTTTGCTCTCCAACCGCTAGCAAGACAGAATCAGTACTTGACCAAGAAAAACCCTCTGACAGAAACTAAGGTTGCTCAGAAATTGGGAGCTGAAGACAAAAAATGCTTCGGCGCATCAGGCAGCGGAAAGTACCACCTGACTGCAACTCTTTAAACCAAAAAGACACTTTTTCCCAGGATTAGACAGTGGCAGAAACTGCGTAATCCAGGGCAAAGATATGATTACGTACTTTAAAGTTTGAACCTGTGTGTGCTCTGACCAACTTTCAATCTTCATATCCAAAGAGCTGCACAGCCCGATTAAAGTACCACCCAGTTCTAATCTGATGAATTCAGATTAATCTAAGGCAGTGTTGTCCAAACTTGGCCACTTTAAGATGCGTGGACTTCAACTTCCCATGCTGGCTGGGGAGTTCTGGGGGTGGAGGTCCATGCATCTTAAAGTGGCCAAGTTTGGACAACACTGCCTTAGATTAATCTGAATTCATCAGATTAGAACTGGGTGGTACTTTAATCGGGCTGTGCAGCTCTTTGGATATGAAGATTGAAAGTTGGTCAGAGCACACACAGGTTCAAACTTTAAAGTACGTAATCATATCTTT